CGCATCCGGGACCCGCCGTTGAACCGCCGATGCGGTTTCCGGTTCACCGTGTCCGGGATTTATTTTCGGTCAGTGCCGCGCTCCTAATCGTTAGTGCCTGCCGGGATCGTCGTCGGTCAGACACGCGCGCGCGCTACGCGGTGCGCTCAACGGGCACGACGGACACGTTTTCCCGGGACCCAGTAGAGTGAACAACACGGAACCGTCGCGCGAGTGAAACGATCCAGTATGTGGTTGGACACTTCGCGGCCCGACGCGGAACGCTTCGCTGCGATCGGATCGATCGCGAGCTGACGCGCGCGACGCGGACGGCGACCAGGCGTCTGAATCTACTTTGTGCCTGACTCTCCGAGTGCTCCGTGGATCGAGGGATCCCGTCTGTGGTGAAGTGGTTACATAGTGACGATACTCTGACAGCCAAACTCGAACGAACTTCGTGGAATAGTGAAGCTACGCAAAGGTGGCCGTTTGCTCAGTGACAATCTCCAGTTTCTCCGTTTACACCGCCGTGTAACAGTGAAGTATACGGAACCCCGCTTAACCGGTGACAGTGGACAGAACGAACGCGAACTATCATCCGTGCGATCGATGCGTCTATCAGCCACCTAACCGATATCATCGTCCAACAGAGTCGACGTTCATTGGTGAAGCTTAGCAAGTCTTAGGCACCAAGATTCGTGCGCCGTACTGTGTTCGCGCGTCGGCGGCGGCGACGACGTCGTCGGCGAGTTTGTCCGCGAGAACCGTGGGCTGTGGCGGCGGCATCGACGTCGCGACTAAGGTGGAGCGTCCGGGCAGCACGACGACGCTCAACTTCACGGACCTGGGGAGCCCATTCGGGGCGGGCGACCCCTGTCCGTCTAGCACCCCGACCCCGAATAGCATGTCGGGAGGCGGCGGGCCATCCGGCGGCGGTGGTGGCGGCGGTGGCGGCGGAGCGACCGCGGCTGGTGCTGGCTCCGACATGGAGCAGCATCTTCATCACACCGGGCTCGGCTCGGTGACCCCTGGCCCGCCGGGCGGCAACGGCGGCGACAGCACCGCGTCCAGCACACCCGTCTCACAGAGCGGCAAATCCGCTTTCATCGAGCTGCAACACAACAATCTTTACAATCCGGCCAGCCTGCGTGGCGGCTACCCCGGCGGGCACAACGTGCCCGGTGCCCATCAGTTCTCGCACCAGGTCGGCGCGCTCGGACATCAAACCTCCGGCCCCGGCAGCGGGAACCAGCAACACGCTGACGCGGGATTCCCCAGTCCTAGGTCCGCGCTAGCCGGATATCCGTTCGCGCCCATGCACCAGCACAACGCCTACGGATATCACCTGGGATCGTACGCGCCCCAATGCCCCTCGCCGCCCAAGGACGGTGAGTACCCCAACTGTATGTATTCGCAGACATTTTTTATTACTACTACTTAGTGGATAGAGATTGGCTGCCGCGTTCACTGCTACGGACTGATCTGTGGACAGACGGTGGAACAGAATCGTGTGTCGGATCATTGGGAATCGTCTCTGTTTAACTTTGCTACGGAAGACGTCGGAAACGCTAGAGTCTGTGGCAGTTAACGCGTCGAGCCTGAGTTCGCTCGTGGAATCACCTGATCGGAGGCAGCTTTTCTTTGGGGAGTCAGTTTCGGAGTGTGTCGAGAGGATCGATGTTTGACGGTTCTCGAGGGGTATGGAGTACGGTTTGTGCTCTGGAGATTCATGCGCGAATGGATGCTGTGTTCGGGTGATTTCACGGGACACGGAGCCGTTCGAGAGCACACGGGATAGACCGCCGGATCGCGATGGGTTTCGTTCCGGGTACTTAGACGTGTCTTTTCGGAGGATGCTGGAGGGGTCTGCGGCTATTCAACGTGTGCTCTTCGGGTATAAGTTAGAGATAAGTGTGTAGAACGAGGATGCCATCGTGCCAGATGATAGGCAGGATGGAGTAGAGTGGGTTTATCGTGGATGCTTCGGAAACGGTGAAAACTAGAAGCTGCATAGTTGATGAAAATTGTCGAACAAAACCCACCACGCGTACAGCGCTAAACTTAAACCGAATGTCGAGAAATGTCAACTACACCGAAACGAGTAGCTAAACATCGTACAGTGTACACAGAGCCAAGGTGGATCGGTTTCCAATTCGTTAGGATGTCCCGTCGGGAGCGATTGGTCACAGCGAGGCGCCAAATCGCGGTCGTAAACCAGTATGCTGATTCCGGCGCGGCGAGAAGTGTAGCGCTCTGACGAAAAAAGGAACGAAAACGGAAGAAGGGAATCTAGAGTAGCAGGTAGCGGTCGGTCGTCGGCCCGCCGCCGCGCGCGTCGTGCGGGCACAATAACGCCGGCCATCGGAATAAGATATACGACTAGGAAAGAGAATCCTCTTGGGACCCGAAAAAGTCCCGCAAAGCAGCCTAACGAACGAAACAAAAAGGCCCGCTGGGCTGAATGGGAATAGTCGCGGGACACCGTGCGGCGGAGAGCGGCGCTCCTGGATATTTCAGACCGCCGCTGCGGAATACGCAACTGTTCTTTCCTCCCGCCGGGGCCTCCTCCTCTTTTTCTGCCGCTCTGTCGCCCATCTGGAATCGCATTAGCGCGGACTCGATCGCGATTTTTCTGCGGTGCGTGAAATCGCCAGTCAGCTAATTGCGTTTCTCGTTAACCGGACACTTCTGTTTTGCGCTGGCCGCTTCCTGGTCGGCAATGAAGATCATCGAAGTTCCGTGGGAGGATCGCGGCCGTTCGATTAGAATATCGCTTGATTCCTGATTACAATTCTCATTCTTCTTACTCGTTTTTGCCACATTTCGAGAATGGCCGGTGTGTCTTTCGTTGCTCTTCTTGCCATGTTTCCTGGCCAACGGGTGACTTCGTTAATAAGAAATGGGGAATTTGTTGTCTGCTCGCTTGTCGTACTAGGTTGAACGTTATAGTCCGTTGTCGCGCGAGAGGAAGAAAGAAGTTTGAAAGAAAGCTGCTAAGATAATTGACAGCCAGCTGGATTTGTATTGGTTTTTGTCGGCTAAGCTGTGTTGGATATAGATCTCTTTTTTCTGTTCTTCGAAGGTGATTAAAGGAATGTGATTTTTTAGGGCGGATGAATCGGTTTGTTTTTAATTTGTTTTCCATTCTTCGGAGCAGATTTCTTGCGTCAGATTTTCAGAGGGTGATTTTGATTATTAAGTGGAAAGCGATTGGAAAAGTTCGATAATTTTATCGCGGAGGCACGGATGATAGATCTGGGTAGACTCCGACCGCCATTTTGCATAGCACGATACGTCAATTCGTCTTCGCTCGTTTCAAGCCGTGCCTACACGTGGCTTGTGATGAAAAAATTACCGAGTTTACGGGCTAAACGAATTACTACGCATCTGCGCCTAAGTTTTAGCTCCGCATTAACTTGTTAAGTGAAGAATATGAGTCAGCTCGTCCTTTGCCAACGTCGGCGTTCCTTCTAGCTCACTTCTCGACTTTGATTGTGTTATAATATTGTAACGCCGATGTAAATTGCATATTCAGCGCAGCGTAAGATACTTTAATTCCCATCTGTTCGCCTCTAAGATGCATTTATTTACTACAAAATCGTTCTCCATTGTTCCCTAAAACGAACAGCACATAAATAAACGTATTAATAATAATCGTGTGAATCCAGTGGATAAAAATATTCCCCGAACAGGAAGGAACCGATTGATTCTAAACGCGAAAGAGAAGAAAATAATTCTACAATGAAACTTTCGACTGCACGCGCAGAATTAGCGAGTCCATTTGACTGCAAACTTTCCAAACCAAAATACAAAGTGAGGTCCAACCGTGCAATTACGCGGCTCGCGAAAATTTCTAATAACAGTGGATACACAACTGCCCCGTCGACGGCCGAAGGAAGAAATTAAAGCGACGCGCGGGGCGACGCATTGAACTTAAAACGTAGCGTTGCGTCGGGGAATGCCGGGGAAGAAATTCAGCGCGGAAGGGTTGAAACAGTAATTGGAAGAGTTCCATCGTACCGGCGATTACGTCCATCGTCAAGCTTTTTGTCCCCCGCGCGACTAACGAATTCAAAACTGTCGACGGAAGAATCCTCGCGGGAAACCTTCGGAGAACATAATAAGATTCGTCCTTGGTTCAGCCGGCGACAGTCCGGAACCCTTCACCAACCCCTAGCCGCGCACGTAAATTAATAATAACCGGTGTTCTTCTCCCTTTCCACCTGCTCCCCGTGTCCGGCGGCGTTCCTTACATTATGAAAAGCACGATGACGCTGCGAGCCACCCCCTCGCGCGTTTGAAACCGCAAGCGCATCGGTTATAGGTAATCTCGAGGCTTGTCGAAAATTGCTAGGAAGCGAATAATTCCCGGATGAGCCGGGAACGAAGAGAAATAGGAGAAAAGAAAAGGGTTCATCCCCTAGATACTCTCCGAATGGTTTCCTGTCGCCGCGAATCATCGAACGGTCGCTCGCCGCTCGCCGCTCGCCGCTCGCCGCGCGCGTGTGTGCCCGGCAATTTCCATCTATTTTATTTTCTGTTTAATTTTTCATTTCGCTCTTCTTATTCCACCCGTCCGCTGTTTCCAGCGGGGCACGCTGCTCGATGCGGATTGTTCGAAAAGTTACGAATACGCGCGAGCATCGGGGGTATAATACGAGTGATTGTGCCTAGCACGCGCGCCCGCTACGTGGAAGGGTTGCGATCATAATGATCGTGCTTTTTTCTTCCTCCCCGGTGCGTTCGAGGAAAGAGGCCGCGCGCGCTGGCAGATTATAGGTCATTTTCTCTCGTTAGGATAACAATTTCTTCGTGCTCGGTTTTCATAAACCATTAGACGGGCTCCGCGACGCGCAAGAACGTCCCCGCGGGAACCGGATTAGTTAGAAAATTTCGCTCGAGGGGATCCCGGGTGAAACGGCGACATTGTGTCGTAACAACCGAACCGATTCTGTCTTCTGCCCGTGCGAAATGCGATTAAGTCCGTCAATCGCCGGGTGATGCGACGCGCTGTCGACGCTCGTTCGTGATTCGCCGCGTTTTTAGGTCAAGCGGACTTTGTCGCGCGATTTCGTGATGTTTTGGACGGGGGAACTTTATTTCTCGAGTGTTCATTGATTAATGGGAACGTTGGCATCGTGCGAAGGTGTTGCATACGAGTAATACGAACTTTGATGTAGCTCATTGAAATTAGGCAATTTTCGAACGAGAAAACCAGTGATCCTAGAACGTTACAGGGGATAATGCGAGATTATCAATTTTAACCGGTACACGACTACGTTTTAATTATTGCTTTCTTCGTACGCGTGTCCGACAGAGAAAATATTTATTTGTTCAATCTTCACGGGTTCAGGAATATTGGATAGGATCTACTGATGCACACTTTGAAGTCGGCGTCGATACAACTGTGTTTAAACGCGCGAGAACACACGGAAGTGATAGCGGACACGAGATTCGTCGGAACTAATTCAAGTTTATCTCGCCTCGATCGTGGTACCGTCAATAATTAATTCTTACACGGAGACTGGTTTGTTCGCGCGACACGTCGCGAGAGGCCGACAAACGCGAGACACGTCCACGGCTGTCCCGTGCATAACGTTCGCCGTTCCTCGGTGACGGCGTACACACTGATCGCCGCGATTGGATTAATTAAATAATAAATATCGTTTTGGAATCACGATCGGGCTAATTACCAAGGAGCACGCTATTGTTTGTGCATCCTCCGCGCGGGCATCGGCACCCGACGCCCGTTCGTTCGTGACTTTGCAGGTCTCGCGACGCGCATGAAGGACGATCTTCTCGAAACGGCACAATTTAAGGCTACTTACTTTACGAAGTTCGCCAAGAAACGTCCAAAACGTAATCAAGGGAAGAAACTTCAACCTACGATTATCCCGTTGAGAAATTAATTCAAATGTCCATTAAGTTTCGCAAGAAGCATCAACTGGAATACCGATATCTTCAACGAATAGCCATTTAAAATCTGCAGCTGCAATCGAATTACAGTTATCCGCAACAAAGATGGCCAATGTTAATAATGAGCACCAGATGCTATCTCCTCATTGAATTATCAGAAGATTGAAACAGAGTATCAGAGTAGATTGCAAGAGTATCAAGGAGGACGCGCCGGATCTCTCGTCGGACGTGCAGCGATGTTGCAACGGTGCACCAGTCGCATGAAGTATCCGCTATCAACTCCCAATCTCCATCGTTCGGACAAATGAACCAGCCATTAACATCGCCGAGCCGAATCCTCGTTACCCCGGTCGACGGTCCAGCCTTCCGCGGGGACTCATCCGGCAAAGCTCGGACCAGAATCCAATTAGCGGGGCTACCTTGTACTTCTACCGAGTTCTACATTAGTCACCGACCTGCCAGCTAACCAGCGGCCAAATTAATCCGGAACGGCTCAAAGACAATGCCGGTCCTCCGGGCAGCCCGGCCGGGGTGATGGATTAGGTATTAAACGGTTGTTTTCACAAGGATTAGGAACACCGACCTGGGACCGCCGGGGAACCTCGACGGGAGGCTGGACCGAGGGATGATGGCGGCGACGATGATGGACTCCTTCAGCCGGCTACGAGGATTTACACGGAAGTCGTGTTTTCTCCGGCGCAGATACATCCGCAGATACCGTGCTCCGCTGCCACTCAACCGGATCCTGGGAATTCGTCCGTCCCCCGGCTGACAATGAGAAAAGTAGGGTTCGAACAGCCGTCACGCGAACTGCGCTGCGTTACGATTGCTACCGATCATCGACGATAAACCGTTCGGCTAGTTGTTCGTTTTTATTTTGAGATCACGCTTCATTGGGACGTGTTGCAGGGGTTGCATCGTCGAAGTTTGATACGTTGACTTTCAACATTGAGATTGATTCTTGGCAATAATCGCGAATCGAATGTAATTTAGACGATCGTTGAATCCCATGCGTGAAGGTTCGACGATTCTCAAGTGACATTCGAGGTTCTCGAAGGCGAAGTATATCTGCGACAGAAAATAATGAGTCTTCTAAAAAGCAAACCTCTCGTCCTTCATTCGGACGTAGTCGGGGAACAAAGAGTTTCCTTTCGATCAAAGGACTATTAATTGCGAAGTTGCACATCATGGCGCGCGAGTTCCAGCGTCCGGAGATGTGGGTCGTGAAATTGCTACCTCTAGGCCCGATTATTCCCTGGAAGCAATTGAATCGATCCGGAACACGCGCGACCGGGAGGACAGACCGCGCTGCAGAAAAAGGAGCCGGGAACGCACCGTCTTTCGCAAATGACCCGTGTGAATTACAGTAAAGTAGTAGTTTCACGCGGCGGAGCAGTTTTCAGCGGCCGCTTTGCATACTGTTGCTGCGCTAACGACTATAACCTTTCGCGGCGCTCGGCCGCCTCTAGAAAAATGTATCGTGAAACGCGCGGCGTCGGCTTCCAACGGTGATTTTTTCCCCTCTCGGTCAGGTTTTATGCACCACTGTCGCCCGCCGTCGTTGCATCAGAGGCCATGATTAGCCGGCTCGAGTCTTCGTGATCGATGCGAGTCGTAAATACATTGTGATCCGTGATAAGACGGCAATTCGCGTCGATCCTACGCGACATGATTCGCCGTAGTCCGCTTCTGATTCGCTGTTTTGTAACTATGTTTCATAATTCGCGGTCTCCGATGCCTATACGCGAGTTCCCTCTTGCGATCACCTTCCCGCGATCAACGAGAAGCGCCCGGCTCGCGTCCCGTTCTCGTATGCGACTCGCTCAAAGCGCAATTTCCTCTTTATGCAATACTCGGAATTATAGAGGAGCCCATCCACCATGCTTTTTCGAACTGCGCCCAATGGCATTACGGTTTTCGAACGACGATAAACAAACAGCGACGCGCTTGGACGTTTATCACGTCCGGCTGACAGGAAACATGGTCGCGCGACAAAACGCAGGAACAATGTCTGCCTAATCGCCGAAGCTAATGTATTCGATGATACCGTTCCCTGCGAACAGCTGAAATCGTTGCATTCAATGTAAACGTACCTATCGCGCGTAGAACGGACTAGTTTGCTGCCCCAGTCCCATAGAAATTCTCAATATTTCACTATTCCCGTGAAATCTTCTACATCTTTTCATTCTCGACACTTTACTCTTTTCTCTGCATCTCTGTTCGAAGTATCTTCAACTTCGGTCCTCTCGAAATTCGAGAAAACTCCTGCTATTCCACATTCGGACGGATGTCTTCTCTATTCCAACACCCTCGCGCGAAATATTCGCTATCAGCTTTCGACGAATCTTAAACGACATCGTCTCGGAAGCATGCAATTCGAATTTCCACGTCTTAAATGAAAATTCTCCGTGCGCGATCGATCTTTGGAACTCGTTGATCCACGGGTCACAGCCGTCCACGCCCCCGGGGCACTGGTGACACGAGTAGCAATAAATCATGAGAATCATACCGTGTATGCGCGTATGCATGTCCGGTCAGCTCACCATAAATTACGTTAATTAATAGTCACGCTTATTATCACACAGGGAAAGGTACCGCGGTGGCGGAGGCAGTCCGGTGTTACGTTACGCGGATAATTCTGAGTTTCGTCGTCGACATCTCACTCGTCTCGTGCCTCGGTCGGCCCTCCCCCGCGGCCCGGTTTGTCGCGGCTGCCAACCCCCATGTCGATTTATGGTGGATTTTCTCGCGTTTCCTTGAAAATAACAACTCGGCCGACCGACGGATAAAATGACAAGGCAGCCTGTTTGGATTTCTAAATGACTGTGTTACGTTCAAGGATTCACACCGCGGCGCATTACGCTACATTGTAATTAGGGTATAAACATAATGGCGCGATCGTAACCGACGATAGCGTCGCCGGCTGGCACGATGGCATCCATTTAGTCGGCTAAGTAATTATTTTAACATTAATTTATAACAATTCCTTCTTCTTTTTGTACGTTGTTAATTAATTACACCGTGGTTAACGCTTCGATATTGTTCGCCCCGATGGCTATCGCGAGGCTGCAGGCGGATTAACGGTCGTTTAGCGTCGGACGTTGCTACCGAAACTTTTCTTACCGTAATTTCATACTTTATCGTCTGTAGAATTCACCGGTCTCGTCGGTTTCTGCACTTTCCACGGAGTTCTCCTTTATCGTTCCGTTCCACTGCGAAAACGGCCAGGTTTCAGTTGAATTTCTCTTTAGTTCGTACGCCACCGGTGACGAGGACTCTGAAAGTTGATGTTAGGGTGGTGCATGTTCGCAGACCTCTCGCCGTTGGGCGACAAGAGCGGCAGCCTCGTCGACGAGCTCGGCGGCGGCGGCGGCGGCTCCTTGAGGAACGGCAAAGGCAAGAAGATGAGGAAACCGCGGACGATCTACAGCAGCCTGCAGTTGCAACAGCTCAACAGGCGGTTCCAGAGGACGCAGTACCTCGCGCTACCAGAGAGAGCGGAGCTAGCGGCGAGCCTTGGACTGACGCAGACGCAGGTAAGTTCTTTTTTATCCGCGCGACCGGGAATATTTTACTTCTTACGGTACGTCCATCGACGGATCGGACAGACGTGATCCAGCAAATCTGACGTACGGATACATTTGACACTATATTTTCATCTGGACACAATGCAACACACCGTGAACATCTTCGAGAACCATCAACGGAGAGCTGTCCGTCCGCGGATCACTTAAGAGCGACGCGGTTTACATAGATATTCTTCGCAGAGTTAATTCTCAATTAAAATGCAGTAAAAATCTCAACACTGTAGCATTCCAAAGAAAGCGCGAGTGGTACGCTCAACGTCTACCTTGAAAATGTACGTGATACAATCATCTGTACTGAAGCGACTTTATTGGACTTCAGAATCCTTCGTAGTTCCCTTGTATAACTGACAAATAGACGATTATCACCCTCTGTAGTAAATTTCATTCGCTCTTACTACAGCATAAGTTTAACCTGACTCCCTTACAAATACACGATACAGATGTTCAGATTTTCAAGAGCAAAATTAAAGATTATAAAATGGTCTCCTAGGTGCGACCAAGATTGACCGTTTCCACTAGAAATATTCCTAAGTTGTTCGTCGAAAGTTCACAATGTCTCGCCCTCACCCCTTGGCGACCGCGAGTGATATCCTGTTGCGCGTTCTAGCCCGGCGTAACAGGAGCCTCGACGGACAGCATCTGTCAGTATTATCGGCACAAATGACTTTACTAAATCACCGATCCGCCACGCCCTGGACATCGGGGATAGGGTTGCGGCAGTGTCCAGTGCGCCACGATAGGGAGAAACGCGGCTAACGAGACGATCATAAATATTCCCCGGTATCGGAGGTTTTTCAGCTTTCCGCGTGGACAGCGGGAGACTTTCCGCTAATTATCCGGAGCTGGTTTCCAATTAACGATTTATTAGGACGAGCGCTCGGTCGCGCGCGCGCGCGAGCGAACGAGCGCGGACGGGGAACCGTGGTCAAAAGCTAATTGGGGCTGGCCTTCTCAGGGCCATGAATTTCTCGCGGATAGTCCCACGGTTTCCAATTAACGATTTATTAGACTGTAATCGTGGCTGGAAGCTAATTGGGACGAGCCTCTCGCGGGTCGTCCCGTGTGTTGCCGATTTATCGGGAGACCTGGGAGCCGAATTACCAATTAGAATAATTCCCTCGACTATTCGCGCTCGCGAATATGTTTGCTTAACGCATCTGAACGCTCGTTTGTTCGTGGATTCGTGAAACCGATGGATTTCACTGCGAACGAATCTTTATAGGATCGAATGATTTTCTAAATCGAATTAGTGTGATAATAATATATTCGCAATTATCGAGGAAATTGACAAATTTCGAAATTGTACTTCAATTGTGTAGTGTAGGGAATCATCGAAGTCTCTCGAGATTATTAAATATTACTTGAACAAGATCAGTCTTTGTAGCGATAGGAAGACCCACGAATTGAATCCACGAAGATAACGCGCGGATTTATCAGTGGTAACCCAGATACCCGTTTGAAAGCGGACATCAGGAGACATAATACGTCGTTATTTTGCAAACAACCTGACGCGCTGCCGCGATTACTCATCAGGCTGCGTCGCGCTCGATTCCCTCCATTAGGGGAGAGAGGGGGCCAACTCCCGCGGTGCTCAGGCTAATGAAATTATCCGGTCCGGGACCCCCTGCGACGACATCAACGAGCTACGACAGCCAGTTATCCCGTGATTACGCGATACGCAGTTGCGTATCACGGCGCGCGTACCTATGAGAAAACCTTTAGCCTTTTGACGTGTTCGGGATAGGGGTCGCGCGCGACTAAATCAATCTTCTGCATTCTTTCGTTCGTTCTTCCTCGCCGTTTCGCTACGTTTTTATCGGCGGATGAATCAGAGTTAATGGCGGAACACTTGACAGTCCCCCTCGATTTTATTACTTTGTCACTACACAGCGGGGAAAGATAATTAACAATTACGAGGCATTCTTCTGCATTCGAGATGCATTTCCAACGGTATCGAAAAACCAACAGAGAAATTCTTTTCGCTGGAAACTCATCGAACCAAAGGAAACTCTACGCGGTTACTACTTTATTATTCCCATGAAATCGAGAGAACCAGAAACATAGACTCCGAAATAGATTCTCAAAACCGACGTCTATCCCCCGTGATAGCTATCAGGGGGTAGTTCCTGTAGGAAGTCGAGAAATCAACTTCCCAAGCTGGTTTTTGCGGTTCGCCGGGATCTGGTAGCACGACTGGTCGCGGCAGTAAAGCTCGCGGCCAGCGTCGCGTCTCAGCAGGGTGCAGCGTGCATAATCTGTAATCGGCCAATCAAGGCGTCCGAGCAAGCGCCTGTGCCTGCACTGTTGGCCCAGCTACCGTCGCATCGGGTTTCTTGTCATCGCCAGGCAACATGGCGCCCCGAGCCTTCACTCTCTTCCATCTTCCCTCGGTCTCCTCCTTCTCCTCTTCTTCCCGTTCCTCCGTCATCTCTCCTCTCTCTCGCCCTCTGCCTCTCGCGCGATGCAGTTTCCCTCCCTCCTCGTTCAACTTCGCCGGTGAAAACGGCGAAGAAGATGGAAGCGAAGCGGAAAGAAAGGGACAAGCTCGCTCGCGCGCGATGAGAAGCTAGAAAGAGCGAGCGAAACGCTCGGGGAATAGAAGCCAGAAAGAGGGAGAAAGCGCAGAAGGGAACGGTAGAGAGGTAGAGGATCGAGGGAAGTGAGGCCACGCATCTCTTTTTCTTCAGGGCTTCAATTTGAGGACGTGGTAGCTTATAGCGTTCGTGCCGCCGCTGTACGCGAACAAGGGAACAGAGAGAGAGAGAGAGAGAGAGAGAGAGACAGAGAAAGAGAGAGAGAGAG